CCTTATGTCAATGTTACACTTGGAGTAACTTTCTGTTTTCCGAAACGGAATTGTTTCTATTGCAATGACCACTATTGGCCGATGCGCAATGACCACTATTGGCCCATGCGCACATCTCCTTCACGAACGGAGCTTTAATGACACGAGACACAGTCGAACTACTGTGGACGTACAAGCCGGACCAGAGAGTTGAACAGACGTAGTCTGCGCTCCTTCGATGTTAAAAGGAACGGTAAAAACTACACGGACTCGCTCTAGAAGCCCTCTCCTGGCCAGCAGATCTCGACATTTAGTTCCTAAACATATTGCAATACGCAAGAGTGTTTAGCGTGTTTCATTCGTCACACGAATGGTCCCGTTCAGCGAGTCGCCGGCTATTTAACGAGGTGTTGTGGTGAGCAGAGCAGCAACTCAAAAGACAAAAGAGCATCGACATTGTGGAGAACGAGTTACAGATTCCTGAAGGATTGCTGCACAACGAACAAAAGAGGCATTTCACGGTCGTGAACGAAACGCGAATTGAAAGAAAAGTGCAAGCATCATCTGAGAGCAAGAGGCGCCAGGAAATATCGGGTGCTTGTGCAAGTAAGCTCCTTATTTTGTTTTAATAAGGACATGGAGAGGGGGAGTGAAGGGAGGGAACCAATCTATCACGATGAATTGATTAAAGTGCATTCCCGCGTACTGAGTTTATTTAGCTCACAGCTCTCGTCACCGGCGGCCCAATCCATTCGGGACGAAAATCCGGTCCGTTGTTTCAGAAGCGGCACTGTGCCCGGAGCGGTCCCGTGCCGCCCTCTACTGTCCAGCGTAACATCCACGCTCCACGTGTCGATCTCCACTCAGAAATGTCAACGATTCTCATACAAAGGTGCCATTGCCGATTCGCCGTTGTCACTCGGCGTGGTAGCGATGCCTCCGCTTGCTCGTAAACGCCAACTGTGGTCACGCGAGCAGTCGCTTCCGAAACGCCGGCCAATGCATCGATAGGATGCGACGTAGAACGTGGAGTGTGTTCCTGTGTGAGCTCACGAGAGCGTCCTTCACTGCGGAGCAAGGGATGTGGAGCTTCACGGGAAGAGAGGGAGCGGTGGTGCCAATAAGCCCTGACCGGGCCAATGGCTCTAGGTCCAATACCGTCACCGTTGTAAATTCTAGGGCTCCCTCCCTTTAATGGGGCATTTAGCGACCACAGACTTCCAATCATATCTAAAAACGGCTCCGATATCCCCCACACAGGAAGCATGAGATAACAACAACAACCATCCCAACCAATGCTAGAGTTATGACCAATTAATGGCGACAATAGATGGGAGGGGTAGTTGACGGTGGTGAGTTGTGGTGAGGTACCGTCACGTGTGTGAGGGCATCGATACGGAGTGGGGGGGGGTGCTATGTGTGTTTCATTTATAAAAACATTTGACATTTAAAGTGTAAATAAGCTACACCACGATGTCTGTGCGAAATCGGTCTTTATATGGAGTGTGTTATGCTCATTGTGTAAATAAAGACCTTGCTAGGTTTAATCTCTCAGCCACCGTAATCACAACCAGAGCTAAATAATGAAGTATAGGCCCAGCCGCTATGAGATTACACTCCGGTTTTTTGTGTGTATATTTACAACAGCCACGTTTGCAGTGCGGCAAACCTGGGGAGGATTTATTTTGCATTGATGATGGACTTTAGAAGCGACCCTTGCTTTTAACAATCGACAGTGCTCACGTATCACTCGGAGCGGTCTGTACGCGACATGCATCTCGCCTTGTGTTGTCCTCGTGATATTGTGAGCATATATATAGCAACACGGGGAACAACACAGTAATGTAGGATTATTGTTATTATTATCGATAGTCACACCTTGTCATCACCATCATCATCACCGATAAATGCAAAGCATTGCAGAGTTCTGGAAACGAAACCGAGAGAGCCTCCGGCAATATTGCTCTGAACATCGTGGGTTCGAATCCCACCCGCAATGTCTTCTCGAGCAGCGTGGAGACGAAAGGTCTTTGAGGTTCTTGAGAAGACAAAGGCGACGACGAGGAGGAGGATGGGGGGAGGTACGGCGATCAGAGACGCGGCTCCTGTCGCTGCCTCCCCTCTCACCCCACCCACCACGCCGTGAGAGTCGCAGGGTTGATCATTGTTTTTAAATCCTTTATATTAAGTTCGCTTGCTTGCGTGCTTGCTTGCTTACGACCGTGCAAATCTTTCGGTCGTTTTTTAACCCACTTCCCGTGATCAAATCGAGCTGACATTTTACACACAGACTCGTTGTGCGTGACAATTAATTTTCGTGAAAATTTATTTCCAAAATTTTACACTGTTTAGGGAATTTTTTTAAATATTTAATTACCAATTGCTTAATGCTGGCAGACAATCATCTGACCCATAGGTGGCAGCCATCTCAAGCCAGAGGACGAGAGGACTCTAGCCGCCACGCATATAAAGGATTTAGAGTGAAAAACTTTGTTTTTACGGGTTAATTTTTTACTCTTCTATCTGGCAACAAAACTGGCAAACATGACTCCTTGTAAAAAGGGTGTCAGTTTTGTTGCCAGATAGAAGGGTAAAAAAACAATTATCATATTTTTTACTGGCAAATGAGGTTCCAATGATGTAGTCGCAGGGTTGGCTGTGGTCGGCCTTGGACACCGTCTTGTAGCGGCGGCGGCGGTGGCGGCATCGGGCCAGGAGCAGGTCGCCTCGGGGGCTTCAGGCTCCTGCGAAAAGAAGACGCGCAGCGGCCCAGGGCGGTGGGCTCTCAATCAGAATATTTTATTAAAATTCACTTGATCAGAATCTTTATTCACACTGGAGTAATCCGATGCTCCTTCCCTTGAGTGTACGGAGCATTTAACGGAGGCGCACGAAGAGTGTGTGACTGTGTGTGTGTGTGACTATGTGTGTGACTGTGTGTGTGTGTGGCCTCAGCCTCAAATGAGTACCTGGTGCGGTGTGTAGTAAACATCGCCACTGGGGAGACAAAGGCGGCCGGGCGTGGTGCTGCCAACCCACCCCTCGTGTACCGTTCAGGCCTTCATAGGTGCTCGCTAATAGCACTTGCCCCTACAGTCTGTTAAGGCTATACGGGGGATCTTTGTCTTTGTGTGTGTACACGTGTGACGTACGTGTGCGTGTGTATACACGCAATCCATTAGACACAGACATCGTTAATTGCTCAGCGCGTCACGTGGCACTCATTAAACAATCGTCTGGCGCGTGCAGCGTGGAAAGAGTTCATTCGCTTTTGAATGGGAGGGCGTCAATCGACAAACGCGGAAAGAGGGGGGGGGGGCGTGGTGAGTCGCGGGGACTGGAGTTTGGTCAACCCTAGATTCATCGATTCAAATGGGATTAGAACAATACCATTGTTATTCAGCTCAAGATGCGTGCATCGAATAGTGTCCTTTAAGAAATAAAGAACACTATTCGATGCACCGCACAAGCTCTGGTTGTAGCGCGTCTTGCAGGAAGCTTCTTCGGCAACTACAGAATACTCGGGGGAGCCTTTGTTCAATTGTCAGGCAGTCCGCATGGGATCGTCAGGCAGAGCACGTGGGATCGACAGACAAACCACGTGGGTTCGTCAGGCAGTCACGATGAATTGTCAGCTCATCTAAAACAAGGAAACTCAAATGGCGGGATTTGATTGCTAACTGCTGAAATAACTGCTGCGCCACCACTCACACCTCACAGCACTCATTGCCCTGACGATGTTTGGGATATTTGCCCAAAAGAATGTTTTTGTCGTTCAACCCGCCACCACCCGACATAGTCAATTAGGAAGGTTTGTCACGTCAACAAAGACATGCCATAGGGGCTACTAGTTGAGCACACCGGGGTGTCGGAGAGTAAAGGCACAACGTTGACAACGCTTCGCTTGCGATTACAAACAGCTTCGTCGGGCGATGAGTGATGTGACGTCTTCTTGGTTCTTTCGGTAAAGTCACGTAGAATGCAAATAATAAAATATTAATAATAAAACATAATAAAATAATTCTCACGATGTTTCGGCCACAACGCAAGCCTGGGGTGTCACGCCTGCTGGCAGGATGGGGTCTGTCATTCAGACGCTGTCTTCTCGACAGCCCTGTTCTTCACCTGAGGACGGCTGCTTGCGTTGTGGCACGAAACGTCGTGAGAATTCTTTTATTGTTTTATTTTTATCATTTTATTATTTCCATTCTACGTGACTTTACCGAAAGAACCAAGAAGATGAATCCCTGCAGTCACGAAAGCTTCAAATCGAAATTTGATGTGACGTCGCCGATGCACGCTGCCCGTAGGCGACATTGCCAGAAGGGGAGGCTCGCGTGCGTGAACCGATAACGAAGCTCCTCTCCCCCCCCCGAGCATCCTGCCAGCTGGCGAGACACGCGAGTCCCGACTCGCTCGTCGCCAGGAGGCCAACCGTGACCCGCATGTCTAAGGGATGGGGGGGGGGGTGAGCGTCTATCCGCAGTGAACACCGTTCAACTCTGTTCGGGTACAACTGCACGTGCGTGACTTCGTCACCAGTTGTTGCTTTAGTTGCTGTTTGCCTTCGTGGTCGACGGAGGGCCCCGGGTGGAACGAGGAAAGGTGGCGACTTCACTTAAAGAAGGCGCACGTGCAGTCACCCCCCCCACCACCCCCGATGGAGTTGAAATACAAAATGGAGGTTAAAGTGCTGAATTGACAAATGTTCAGATGTTTGCGCTAAGTGTCGTTGAACTTGTCTTTCACTTTCTTGTTTCCTGCCCGGGCTCCATCGGCTCCCCCAGTGATCGGCGGCAACTGCCTCTTCTCCTTGTGCTGAAGACAAAGATCCCCCGTGTAGCCTTAACAGGCCGTTGCTGCAATTGTGGTGAGCGAGCACCTATATAAGTTCGGAACGGGTGACCAGCACCACGCCCAGTGACGATGTTTACACACCGCACCAGATACTAATTTGAGGCGGAGTCGACCTAGGGGAGGCCTAGGACCGGTTCAGGTAATGGTCACTGGTGTTGGTGGCCGTGAGCGGGAATCGAACTCGGATCGCCGGTTTCGTAGCGCAGCGCGCCAAGCGCTTCACTACCACTCCTCACAGACACACGCGGTGAGCTTTAATGAAATCATTTTTTATTGTGTGTGATTCAATTACTTCTAGATGTGCATATTTGTAAACTCGGTCCACCAATATCGTGCGCAAAACTTTCAACCTCGCTCGACATTGAGTGGTCACTGAAGCGAACAAAACTGCCGATATAAAATGTTACACCATCTTATCTTTTTGCGTTCAAATGCAGCTAATAGCATGGGCCATCGACTGCATGTCATGATTGTATCAACATCTCCCATGAGCGATAAAATCACTCAAGACACTTCGAGGCGCGGAGAAAAGCGCGCTTGGAATTGTCCAGAACGAGGGGCACGTGGATTCGAGAACGCACGCAAGTCAGAGACATCATCCTGATTGTAGAAACACTGACTCGAAGGACAGGCTGCCCGAAACGTCACCTGTTCCCCCGCACCTCCGATTAGCACGGATGGCTTCGTACGGTGCGAAAGAAGTTCAACATACGTATTATCATATACTTGTATTTATTTTTTTGAAGGCAGCAGTGCTGTTGACGAATGCGTTGAGTGTTTGAGGAGTCTAAGCGAACTTGGTGGGCGGGAGACGTCGTGAGAACACATGACGTCAGGTGGTCGAGACTAGCGACGGACTGGGAGTTGCAAGGAGGGAGCACACCTGGGCAAACGTCGATAGAGCCATGATGATGATGACATCAACTCGCGTGCAGGTGCCACGTGTAGGTAGTGAGCACTCCAAATATGAGAAACCGTCATTTAACAAATACTCAACATCTTCTTGGTTCTTTCGGTAAAGTCACGTAGAAGGGAAATAATACAATAATAAAAATAAAACATAATAAAATACAATTCTCACGACGTTTCAGCCACAACGCAAGCAGCCGTCCTCAGGTGAAGAACAGGTCTGTCGGAAAGACAGCGTCTGAATGAACACCACCAAGCTTGGCAGCGTATATTTAAGCTGGGTTATCAAATTCCTTTGTCAAGGCGCCCTTCCTCCTCGAACCAAGAAGATGAACCCCTGCAGTCACGAAAGCTTTAAATCGAAATACTCCAAAGACAAAGCGTGTATAGCAGGTTGTTGGAGCAAGCGCCGTTAGCGTGCACCCATCACCCCACCACCACTTAACCTTAACTCCTCCATCGCAATAATCATCATGATCAATCATCCCTCCCTCTCTCTCCGCTGATCTCGCGTGGTCTGGGTTCGCGCCGTGGCGGTGGCGGACGGGTCCCCACGCGTCGCGTTCCGCGCTATCCCACCATGTCGTGCGCGCACGGCTGGCTCGGGTCGTCCTTCTTCACCACCGAGTAGCGGCACGTGTCAACATCCAACACGGCCTCGCAGTCGGCCCCAAAGTTCACCGCTCTGCCCCCGCTGCCGGTCGATGAGAGGAGATGTGGGCAAAGTGCGCGGATAACATTAGCATCGTCATCATCGTCATCCCGTGAGCACATTACCCCTTCTTCTTGGTTCTTTCGGTAAAGTCACGTAGAAGGGGAATAATAAAGTAATATATTATTGTATTCTTTTATTATGTTTTATTTTATTATTTTATTATTTCCCTTCTACGTGACTTTACCGAAAGAACCAAGAAGATGAATCCCTGCAGTCACGAAAGCTTTAAACCACATTACCCCTATCATACAATCTCCGCATTGGCTTCCAATTAAATGTCGGGTTACAATTGAAAGTATTGCTGCTAACAAATAAGGGCCTTGAACGGGTGTTGTATTTGTTTACACCGTTTTACATTCAACAACGTGCGGCCGGGTGCGGGCGATTGATCGGTCGGGGGCGGATATGCGACGTTGTTGACGGCGTTACGTACATGCTGCAGCAGGAGACGGCCGTCTCCCCGCACGTGCACTGCATGCAGCCACGCGCTCTCCACTGCTCGCCGGCGAGTCGCGACTCGCCGTTTTCGTCCTTGCACGACCCCTCCTCCAGCACCGGGACTGCCGCGGGCACGGTGACAACAAACAAAACGAGGAAGACGAACGAGCAACGATCAGCGGTAACATCGACATCGTCATCGTCGTCAACAGTAGAAGCAGCAGCGGCAGCAGCAGCCATGCTCTGTTCACTGCTGGATAAAGGCACTCCCCACGCCGCCACTACCTTGTTTTGTGTGTGTGCGTGTTTGGTTCGCTGTCCTTCGCCCGCACCTCCGATCAGCACGCTTGGCTACGGACGGTGCGAAAGAAGTTCAACATACATACACATCTCGGCACGATGCCACCGACGCGCGAGATTATTTCATTGCTCCATCTCCGCGGTTGACGTGCTTTCGGGCTGGGCGGCTGAGGGGCATCACTTTCTGCGGCTGCCATGGTAATTGTGCATACGAAGGACCCCGCCTGCCATCGTCTCTTTGGCAATGCCGAGGAGCGGACACACCTCCGACAATCTCGGCGTGTCGGCCCCACGGCTCTTCGATGCCTCCTCCCCCAACGTAGCGAAGCTGTGTAACTCGTGCGGGGCAGCCCGGTGGAGGGAGAGACGCAGCATCGACAGCTCGTGCCGACGCGCAACATCTCCAGGGTAAGACAACGCGGTGGGGTGGGGGGGGTTGTCGGTGTGTTTTTTGTAATGTTGCTTCTGTCATTCAAGGGAGAGTGGCACTCACCTCCGTCCCGCATGACGATGTCCGCTGAGAGCTTCTGCTGGGTGCAGTAGCCGTGGGTGAGCGCTACCAGGGGCAGCAGGAGCAGCAGCAGATGCACCATGGCCTTCTGTGGCACACACAGACAAAGTTCCCCCGTGTAGCCCGCATAGAACGTTGGGGCAAGTTACGTGAACAAGCACCATATTTTAACACTAAAGCAGTCACTGACTCGCAACAACTTGCAATCATAAGTGACAGAGTTAATTTCGGGTAAAATTAATGAAAATGGGATATGGCGATAGCATAAAAATGAGATGTGATAGAGCAAATCTGAGATCAGATTTGGAATCAGCATCCTGAAATTAGTCTAAAACAGCTGCAAAAGTCCAGGCCAGAAAAAAATGTTTTTTTTGTTGACCAGTGTAATACCACGTTCCATGCTGTCCAAAATTGGATGTTTTCAACTCCTGGTGAAATAAAAGTGCTTTTACTTACGTTGCATTTCAGACCACCTCTAAGTCAAGAGTCAAATGCAGTTTGTTGTTGAACAACTGAACTGTATGAGCTCAATTGTTCTACGTTATCTCTTTTTTGCTTTCGTTCTTTTCGTGACGCTGCAGATGCCACTCTCTCCCACCACCTCCAATTAGTGCGGTTGGCTACGTACGGCGTGAAAGAAGTTCAACGTACGTACATACTCTTGCAAAATTTGACTCAACATGCTTCTCTCGAATTCTCACCTGGGTTAAACAAAATTAACGCGACGAACACCATCTCTCGACCCCCCCACCCATCACAACAGATGTAAGCCACGCAACCTTCCACCGTTAGCAATGTGCGTGAGCAGGCCAGCAGACGACCTCACCATGGAGGCGACGTTGCGATCACGGTCGAGGCGAAAGTCGATGTCCGTGTCGTCCAGCCTCTCACTTTATACCGAACGGCCTGCGGGCTTCCTGCACACGTGTGTACACACCCGCACACCTGCACACGCACCCGCACACCTGCTCACGCTACCGTCTTACAAATCAAACTCGTGTGTCATATTATAATTTCAGCGTGCAGGTGAGCGCTATTAGCATACGCGGATGATTAAGTATTCGGCTGACATGCTGGGACATTCATATGCGGCTGTTATTTCAAAATACATGTTAGATTTAGTTGTGGGGGGCGAGCGGTGGCGCAGTGGTTAGCGCACTGCGCTACACGCACTTTGGCGTGAGTTTGATTTCTGGCACGGCTAGCACCAGTGGTGATTGTACAAGGGCATTGCAGCAACATCAGCCATACTCTATCCACTGCTAGATGAAGGATGCGACCCGAACCGTCGTCGTCTCATACAGTCTTGTGCTGCAACAATCCATCCCGCGCCTGTGTACGAGCTGCTCTTTTGTAATCGCTCCATCTCCCACGGCTGTCGTTCCCTGCCCAGGTTCGGAAGGAAGAATCGATCGTCACCGCGCATCTCGTGACTCACTGCGTTCGCCCGTATCGCGAGCGAGAAGAGATGGCATTCATCCACAACTCAACACACTTCTCAATGTCTTCGCCCGTATCTATTTACACGCCTTCATTTCAGTCGCCAAAATGGCTTTTGGTATGTAACTTTTTCTTATAATTAATTCGCACGGGGTTATCGTGAGGTTTGTCTCTCGCTGTCTTAATTTCACGACTTGTATTCATGCTGAACGTATGCATGATTGCTGCTGCTGCTGCTGTACACAGCACCCAATAGAATTATTAGTATTATTTTGCAGGTATATGTCAGCCCCCGTGTCACGCAGGTGGTGGATTAAGGTGCGTGGCCTGCACTGCGCGGCTGTCGGATTAACTGCGCGCGGGGGGGGGGGGGGGGCTGTGTGTACCACGCTGGGCTGGGGGTGCGTGGGGGGGGGGGCGAGTAAAGCCCCCGAGATGATCGCTAATAATGCCGAGCGTTTGTGTGGCCACCGTCCATAGCCCCCAGGTGGTCCAGGCTCCTGCGGGGCGACGTTTTGCGGGACAGCAGAGAGCGGTGACGGATGAAATCCATCGTGGCACTCTCCTGCCGGGCTCTTCACGCTCCCTACGTCAAAAGCTGCTCGCATTTACCAGACGGCGCTGAGCAGCTCTTGGTGAAGTATGGTCAAGCAGACAACCCCCCCCCTCATATCCGACACCACGTGGTGAGGCCTTCGTCCAGAGGTAGATTGATTCATGGGCTATACATTAGTATTGTTGTTGTCGTAATTATGACGGGCTATATGCTGCATATATATAAATACGAGTACATATACAGCATGTATTGTAGTGGAGCGTTGTCACAGTGGTTCTCGCTGTGTGCCATCAAGCCGCCCACCTGAGTTCGATTCCCGACCATGGCTGACGCCAGTGCCGAGTGATATCGGTCCAGGGTGCCCCCTTACCAACCTGCATTGACACACGTGGTGAAGTATGGTCATGCAACACTCAAAACTGACACGGTCTGGAAAGGTCGTCCACCATTGGATTGACAATGTGCCACAAAACATAATTAATATGAATGTAGAGAACAATTACAACAATGACGCAATGCGTTATGAGCGCACTGCGTTGTGAACCTGGCGACCTGAATTCGATTGCGGACCACGGCTAACATCAGCGGTGAGTAATATCTGAACAGGTCCTGGCTCCCACGCCCCCCTCCGCCCTCAACCCGCAATTACCAGCGTGGTGAAGTATGGGCAAACAAAACAAAAACTTTAAAACCAAGGTACGGCGTGGACATGCTTCCATCAACAAGTTGAATTACGATGCGCTGTTAATAATCACTGCTCGAAGGGGCTCTACATCATTATCATTGCTGAGTGTCATTTTAAAACAGCGGTGTCAGATCCATAGGGGTTCGGACAAACTGTGTTGTCGCGCCTCAGGGTGCTTGGGAGATGAGAAACTCGGCACATTGGATGCGGTGACATTGATGGGCGTGACGACGCGGCGGCATTTGCAATGTTGGTCTTAATTAGTGTGTGGAGACTCACCACCGAGTCGCGCCTCCACGTATCTCGACTCCACGGTAGCGAGTTTGTGAGCATCGATGGCGATATTGGCACACACACAAAGTTAGATTGATTTAAAGATTGACAGGGTCTCTGCTCCTGCCACGCCCCGCGTGAAGCCGGGAAAGCCCCGCTGAGCACCCAGCGTGGGCCACAGGATGGCCCTGCCTGGGATGATGTTCATCAAACGCCTTCTTTGTCCTCCGTTACGTATCTTGTGCACCAATATCACGAATGCCACCACCACCGCCACCACCGCTACTACCACCGCCGGCACCACCACAGCCACCGCCGCCACCACGTCCGCGACTACCACCATCGACAACGACCGTCATGAGCCACTAAGTGGCGGTGACTTCACCACGGCGCTTGTGTGCACTTTAATGCCACGTGAAGTGTCGAATGCTCGCTTGGAGGAGGTCATGGTACAGGCCCAGGTGCCATGACTGAGATGACTGGCAGATGCACCATCTGTGCCCCCTGCTGTGCCAACTCGCTGTGTTTTATCCGCCCGGCGCTCCACTCGTTGTTGTGAGCCTCGCTGCTCTGCTACAATCACCACCACCAAACCCACAAGAACCACCACCGCCACCACCACGCACCCCGCAAGCTCTCTAAGCCGAGGGAAGAAGATTAGGCAGCAGAGCGGCTAAATCCACTCCCGTTAATTAGGCTTCGCCTCCCATAATCTGCGTCCCTGGACACTGCCCCGTGACAAACGAACGAGTCGCCGCTCCTGCGCTGAGGACGAAACCCTCACCCCCCCAAAACGCGTGCCTCGATCGGTCGCGAGTCAACGCCGCCGGCGTCAGTCGTGGGAGTTAATGCGTTGACGCGCGCGAAGGATGCGACTCGCGAGCCCGCGAGCTCTCTGGGATCGTCAGCATGCCTCCGTCTGACGACTGCCTCCCGCTATTTTTCGCCATCTGCGCGCTGCTGTTCGCGCCCGCGAGTGAGTCTCACCATTGCCGCTCATCTTTCCGCTTCTTCTTCTTCTTCTTCTCCTTACTCCCTCCTCTCTCCTCCTCCTGCTTTGCAACATCTTCATCCTCGCTTGCTGTGTGTGCTGTTGTTCGGCATGCGTCTCCTCTTGTTGTTAACTGTTTGACAGGCGAAGCCACGGGCTGCTTTTAAGTCATTGACCATTTGGTGGAGCATGCACTGACTTCTTGTGCGTTTACGAGACGTGTTAAAACGTGGTGAAGTATGGTCAAACAACCCCTGTGACCCTCATCCGCTGGTAGATGAACAATAGTGAGGGGGGGGGGGGCGCGGTGGTTATTTATTTATTTCATTAAAAAATCAACATATAATTAGGACGATGATTGTAATGGAGAATTATTTGAAATAGAAAACGACAGTGGTTGTTCTTTGGACAAACTTTCACTCGCCACAGGAATGTGGACATTCCACCACTGGTTCAGGACTGCTTGAGTGGGAACAAATTCGACTTTAAACTTGTGTGTTCTATCTAGATTTGTGTGTTCTATGGTGAGCTTCTTTCACACCGTACGAAGCCAATCGTGCTAATCGGAGCGCCAGTAGCCAGTTGTTTTCCAAATCATGGCCGCGAGAGACGGCTACGGCTTTGGGAGGCGTTCATCCAGTAGTGGATCGGTCTTGGCTAATGATGAGTAGCCACCAGTGGGGTTCGTTCACTTTCCATCGACTTGAGTCTCACAAACGTAAACCTTTGAGTTACTGAAAACCTGACTTCCTATTTGGATGCCTTCATGAACTGAAATCTGGGTTCAAACGATTGTAGCCAGATATTTTTTTAATTAAAAGCTCAACAACGTTGTCCCTATATTTGAGGAGATACGAATTCAATGTTTTTTGCATTTATAATTGTTGTACGCATACACTCGGCCTATTGATAAGTCACCGTTATGACCCTTTTAGAACACCTGAAATTACACGAGGCCACGAGCGTCTATAATTTTTATATTCAAAAAATATATTCATCATTTTTCTTTCCACAGTTGTATCCTGATTTTGCTTTCGGTTTCATTGCAACGAGATGAATAATCGCAATGCAGTGCGGCTTTTCCTGTTCGAAAATTATCCGTGGAATCGGATATCACAGAACTACTTCTGAAATCCCTTTAAGTGGTCTCTGACTAGAGGCCAGCAGCTTCCTACCACGGAGAGAAAATGTGCATAATCAAATTCAATGGCACGGTTGTTTTTGTGCAATCATGGGTGACCGTGCTGATACCATCAGCTCAACACACTTGAGAACCCGGTTTAATCATAAGGCAGCCACCGGATTAGAACCGCAAATCTCAGCAGTGCCAAATCAGAGCTCTGACCTCTGAGCCACGTGGCCACCTCGACATCAGATCATTATATTGTTGTACAAATGCTTACATTCATCCGGAAACAGCCTGCATGGAACACTGTTCCAGGAATTATTTTGGCATAACGCGTCAATCATCTCAATCTGATGTTGATCCCTTGATGCTTATTTTGCACCTGCTACGATGATCGACAAATAGGGTACAATAATATAGGATTATTATAACGAGGCGTACTTTGTATTCTAGCAGTGGCAGTGACCCGGAAGATATTGAGTAAGATGTGAGGCCCTGATTGTCCCCCATTCGCATGGTTATGGTGGACGCCATTGTTGTGAGTTATTAATCCAATTAATTCAACGACTAATTTGTCATCTACGCAGCGCAAGCGAACTTCGCTCCATTCTTCCACGAGGGAGGGAACATGGCTTTCACGAGCCTCGCGGAAGACACCGCCGTGGGTAAGGAGCTTCCCAGGGAGACCCGGGGGCCAAGTGTCCAGCGGTTTAGGGAAAAATCATCACTCGAGTGAAATATTCATCCCGTACGAGATGATGGCTTGCCAGCAAACAACCGCAGGAGAAATGCATTGCCTCGCGTTGTTCTCGAGGCAATGCCACGGACATCATTACGTCAGTTGGTTAAGGGAGAGAGCGATCGGCGTGGGAGCAGAGTACTGTACTACTACCGATATCGGCTTCACCGATTTCACGCTTGACTCTATGAATTTGATCAAAATTGAGAAAAGGGGGCTGAGCCATTTGCAGGGATGCTTTGCCCCTCCTTTCCATTATTTCTCCATAAAAAAATATTGGTACGATATTGAACAGGATTTGAAAACATATCTTTAGGGTGCTCATTTTGTTCAGCATTTGACGCGTGTTTAAACTGTAACTATGCCCCTAACAACACAGTGCGCTAACCACTACGCTGCCGCTCTCATAGAACGATCTCCCATATACAGTGGTCTGAACAGACTTTTGGGGCAAGCGCTGTTAGCCACCTATGAATGCCGGTAGGGTACACGAGGCGGAGGGTGGCCAGCCCCACACTCGGCCGCCTTTGTCTCCCTCGTGGCGATGTTTACGACACACACCGCACCAGGTACTTATTTGAGTCATGCCCACACACATTTACACAACAACAACCGCCATTCGCCACGAAGTGGCGGTGACGTCACCACAACGCTTGTGCCAGGCTATGTGCACCGTACACACACACTTACACACACGCGCGCGCACGCGCGCACGCACGCACGCACACACGCGCACACACACAGATCCCCCGTATAGCTTTTACAGACTGTAGGAGCAAGTGCAGGGGGTGGATGGCCAGCACCACGCCCGACCGCCTTTGTCTCCCCAAGTGGCAATGTTTACACACCGCACCAGGTACTTATTTGAGGCTGAGTCGACCTAGGGGAGGCCCAGGACCGGTTTAGATAATCGTCACTGCTTGCTAGCCGTGAGCGGGAATCGAACCCGGGTCGCCGGGTTCTTAGCGCACCACGCTAACCGCTACACTACCGCACACACACGCGCACACACGTGCACACACACGCACACACGTGCACACACACGCACACACGTGCACACACACGCACACACGCGCACACACGTGCACACACACGTGCACACACACGCACACACATGCACACACACGCACACACACACACGTGCACACACACGCACACACACGCACACACGTGCACACACACGCACACACACGCACACACGTGCACACACACGCACACACACGCACACGCGTGCACGTGCATCCAGGTACCCAGGTGTTCACGCTCAATGGCAGCGACCCAGAGGGCGCGCGGGTGACGTACGGCATGGAGGCGCCCCCGGGGCAGAAGGAGGTCTTCGCGGTGGAGCCGCGATCGGGCAACGTGACCTTGGTGGCACCGCTGGACCGTGAGGTGGGTGTGTGTCTGTGTGTGTGTCAGTGTGTGTCTGTGTGTGTGTGTGTGTGTCTGTGTGTGTCTGTGTGTGTCTGTGTGTGTGTGAGCGTGTGTGTGTGTCAGTGTGTGTGTCTGTGTGTGTGTCAGTGTGTGTCTGTGTGTGTGTGAGCGTGTGTGTGTGTCAGTGTGTGTCTGTGTGTGTGTGAGCGTGTGTGTGTGTCAGTGTGTGTGTCTGTGTGTGTGTCTGTGTGTCTGTGTGTGTGTGAGTGTTGTGTCTGTGGTGTGTCAGTGTGTGTGTGAGCGTGTGTGTGTGTCAGTGTGTGTGTCAGTGTGTGTGTCTGTGTGTGTGTGAGCGTGTGTGTCTGTGTGGGTGTCTGTGTGTGTGTCTGTGTGTCTGTGTGTCTGTGTGCGTGTGTGTGTGTCAGTGTGTGTGTCAGTGTGTGTGTCTGTGTGTCTGTGTGTCTGTGTGTGTGTCTGTGTGTGTGTCTGTGTGTCTGTGTGTGTGTGAGCGTGTGTGTGTGTCAGTGTGTGTGTCTGTGTGTGTGTCTGTGTGTCTGTGTGTGTGTGAGCGTGTGTGTGTGTCAGTGTGTGTGTCTGTGTGTGTGTCTGTGTGTCTGTGTGTCTGTGAGCGTGTGTGTGTGTCAGTGTGTGTGTCAGTGTGTGTGTCTGTGTGTGTGTGAGCGTGTGTGTGAGTGTGTGTCTGTGTGTGTGTCAGTGTGTGTGTCTGTGTGTGTGTGTCTGTGTGTGTGTCTGTGTGTGTGTCAGTGTGTGTGTGAGTGTGTGTGTCTGTGTGGGTGTCTGTGTGTGTGTCTATGTGTGTGTGTGTCTGTGTGTGTCTGTGTGTCTGTGTGTGTCAGTGTGTGTGTGAGCGTGTGTGTGAGTGTGTGTCTGTGTGTGTGTCAGTGTGTCAGTGTGTGTGTGAGCGTGTGTGTAAGTGTGTGTCTGTGTGTGTGTGAGCGTGTGTGTGAGTGTGTGTCAGTGTGTGTGTGAGCGTGTGTGTGAGTGTCTGTGTGTGTGTGTGTCTGTGTGTGTGTCTGTGTGTGTGTCTGTGTGAGCGTGTGTGTGAGCGTGTGTGTGAGTGTGTGTCTGTCTTTGCGTGTGTCTGTGTGTGTGTGAGTGTGTGTGTCTGTCTTTGTGTGTGTCTGTGTGTGTGTCTGTGTGTGTGTGTGTCTGTGTGTGAGCGTGTGTGTGAGTGTGTCTGTGTGTGTGTGAGTGTGTGTGTCTGTCTTTGTGTGTGTCTGTGTGTGTGTCTGTGTGTGTGTCTGTGTGTGTGTGAGCGTGTGTGTGAGTGTGTGTCTGTGTGTGTGTCTGTGTGTGAGTGTGTCTGTGTGTGAGTGTGTGTGTGTCTGCCTTTGTGTCTGTGTGTGAGCGGTGGTGCAGCGGTTAGCACGCTGCGCCACGAACCCGACGACCCGAGTTCACCATCTCGCTCAGCACAACCAACATCAGCGATGAATATCTCAGCCGGTTCTGGGCCTCCCCTAGGTCGACTCAGCCTTAAACGAGCACCTGGTGCGATGTGTAAACATCTCCACTCGGGAGACAAAGGCGGCCGGGCGTGGTACTGGCCACCCACCCCCTTGTGTGCCACAGTGCAGGCCTTCATAAGTGCTCGCGAACAGCACTTGCCCCTACAGTGTGTCACAGGCTCTACCGGGAGGGATCTTTGTGTGCGCGCGTTGTGCTCCCCTGTCCCCCTGCGCCCAGAGAGTGGACGAGCTGGACGTGATGGTGAGCATCTCTGACGGACTGAACACGGTAAGCGAGCGAGCGAGCGACATCCTCCTCCACGTTGGTTCGTTCCCTTCCGTAGGCGCTCACCCGCGCCGCCTGTTACACCGGAGTGGTTGATGCCTGTAGGGGAAAAAAGTTCTACTGGCCGATGAACGAACCGTGTTTTTAGCGTCCGTACACGGGCGAGAGTGGTGCTGTTGACCGCGTGATATCTCCCCCCATGTTGTGTTCGCATTGGGGTTTCTGCGGCTGCTTCGGGCTACTGACAAACATCCCAACGTAGGAGCCTACTCAACAACGAAAGCTGTTTTGAGACTCATTGAGGCACTTCTGGATAAACTGCACGACGACGATAACTACCATGGCGTGCTCTGGCAGGTCGTGGAGAAGGCTCGCGTGTTCGTGACGGACGTTAATGATGAGCCACCTGTGTTTGATGGGATGCCCTACACAGTCACCGTGCCTGAGGTGAGGTCCCCACCTGCTCGCCGAGATACGCTCCTACCCAGCTGTCTGCCTAACTGCCCATCCACCTACCCACCTGCCTATCTCACCACCTACCCACTGCCTACCTATCCACCCACCTACCCATCTACCGACCTATCCACCCACCTGCCTATCTTACCACCCACCCACCTGCCTACCTATCCACCCACCTACCCATCTCACCACCTACCCACCCACCTGCCTCTATGCCTACCTATCAAACCACCAAAGCAATTTGCTACCGACCCACATATCTTCATACCTACCCAAGTACCCACTTACCTGTCTGCCTGCCAACCAACCTGCCTTCCCACTTACACACCTGCCAACATCTTCCTCGACTCACCCACCTACTTACACTACCATTCACAAACCACCTACGTACACACCGATGTACCTGCCTACAATAAGCCACAGCTCTATTATAGAAACAACATTCGGCACTTGACATGCCCTGGGTTAACAGGAGACAGCCAGTGCACAAAAGTCCAGAACGCTGCACAGGGAATGACTGCGTCATTACACATCTGCCTCGCCTTGCTCTGTCCTAATAGGATTAGAGCAATATAGGGTACAATAATATCGGATTACCGGGATGCATTCCAGCTGCCGCTCCAAGGCCAGCCGAGCAGCGCTCCCGAAGACACGGAGCGAGCCGCCGGGCTCCGCAAACGCTGCGCGCACTCAACGGCAGGGGAAGGGGTGGGGGGGAGCGATAGCTGAGCTAGAGAATGGTGATAAATTGACGGTGGGCTCGTTGACTCGCGGGTTCCCTCTTCCGCCAGGACTGTCCGAGTGGGGCGAGTCTGCTACGAGTCACGGCCACCGACAGAGACGCCGGCTCTGGGGGCAGCATCCTGTACCACCTGCAGGTGTGAGGCCACCAGCCCGTGCCTGGCACCCCCACCACCGCCACCAGCCACACCGCCACTCACAGCCTCCCCCCACTCCCTGCCGCCAAAACTCCCCACCGCAACACCAGCAATGCCAGCCGCATCCTAGCCGCAGTATTGACATTGGGCACAGAGTTTACATTGAACGAGAGCGCCGTTGTTATTCACGTAAAACCAAATCAGATCTCGGGCGTCACGATGGCGAGATGTTAACTACCCCGTCTGGTATACAGGAGGTCGTATTTTCGAACCAGACCCTGACGCCTGGATGTTGGAGGTTGCGGTGTCTCTCTCTCTCCCCGTGGTGGCGTTGGATTTTTCTCCGGGTCCTCAGATTTTCCCCTCCACATTTAGAATCGACGTCACGCGTTTGGAGTGTTTTGCTGCTGTACAATTCCATGTGACATAATTTGTGGCCAGGTCGAGCGGAATGTGGATCCCCGCCTGTTCCATCTTTACCGGATAGAGTGTTTCCCCCTTTCTCTGGCTAGGCTCCGGGTGTCCTCCCACTTGTAAAGAAAGAAACACTCATTAATTGGACGACAACACATTCGTTCTTAATTTGAAGCTTTCGTCACTGCAGGAATCCATACTCTGGTTCTTTCGGTAAAGTCACGTGGGTAGAAAATAATAGATCACGATGTTTCGATCGCAACACAAGCAAACCGTCGTCAGGTGAGACCAACACAGCATTTCCCCTGCTGTGTTGCGATCGAAACGTCGTGATCTATTATTTTCTACCCACGTGACTTTACCGAAAGAACCAAAGAGAATGCACACCTTCGTGATACATAGAGGACCGCAGGGGCTTTGGTGGCGAATTTGGCCAGCGGCTCCTCTCCGTGCGACTTTTGCTGCCTCTACCGCTCGTCTGTGGGTGCTCCTCCTCCCGGCGCCTCCGAGTGGGGGCTCGACACGACGTGTACGCACACTACAACTACAACTATTATTATTATTATTAAACGACGCTGTGTCTCTCGCTGCCGTGGCAGGGCGCGCGGGGGCTGTTTGCGGTGGACCGGCACAGCGGCGTCGTGCGCCTGAAGCCGAACGCGTCGCTCGACTACGAGAGGGAGCGCGCCCACACCGTCACCGTGGTGGCGCAGGTGACGAAGGGGAAGCAGCGGTGGTGTGTGTGGGGTGGGTGGGGTGGGGTGGGTGGTGTGGGTGGTGTGGGGTGGGTGGTGTGGGTGGTGTGGGTGGGGTGGGTGGGGTGGGGTGGGTGGTGTGGGTGGTGTGGGTGGGGTGGGTAGTGTGGGTGGGGTGGGTGGTGTGGGTGTGGTGGGGTGGGTGGTGTGAGTGGTGTGGGTGGGGTGGGTAGTGTGGGTGGGGTGGGTGGTGTGGGTGGGGTAGGGTGATGTGGGTGGGGTGGGTGGGGTGGGTGGGGTGGTTGGGGTGGGTGGGGTGGGTGGTGTGGGTGGGGTGGGTGGGGTCGGTGGGGTGGGTGATGTGGGTGGGGTGGGTGGGGTGGGTGGGGTGGTTGGGGTGGGTGGTGTAGGTAGGGTAGGTGGGGTGGGTGGTGTGGGTGGGGTGGGTGGCGTGGGTGGTGTGGGTGGGGTGGGTGGGGTTGGGTGGGTGGGTGGTGTGGGTGGGGTGGGTGGGTGGTGGTGGGTGTTGTGGGTGGGGTGGGTGGGGTTGGGTGGGTGGTGTTGGTGGGGTGGAGTGGATGTTGTGGGTGATGTGGGTGGTGTGGGTGGTGTGGGAGTGGGTGGGGTGGGTGGCAGGCCGGGGCGGCTTGGGTTGGCGCCACTGGACTCGCCGATTATTCCGGCGACAATCGTTTGACTCGCGAGCTTCTTCACCTCCAAATCCGCCCGCGGTGGTCGGCGTTACGCGGGGCCCCAGTGTGGCCGTGATCGTCCTGGTTGACAGTAATTTAGCAGAGACACACCAGTAAGTTAGCAGTGTACCTCTGGTGGTCACCCCTTGCGTTGTCTTCGTTACTTCTCTCTCCCCCGTGCGCGTGTCTCTCGCCGCCTCTGCAGCCGCACGCGCAAAAAAGAGACAAAGGCAAAGCTCCCCGTATAGCCTGTAACAGACTGTAGGGGCAAGTGCTGTTAGCGAGTAGCACCTATGAAGGCCGGCATGGCACACGAGGTGGTGTGTGGCCAACACCACGCCTGGCCGCCTTTGTCTCCCCAGTGGCGATGTTTACACATCACACCAGGTACTTATTTGAGACTGAATCGACCTAGGGGAGGCCCAGGACCGGTTCAGATAATCGTCACCGGTGTTGGCCGTGAGCTGGAATAGAACTCGGGTCGCCAGGTTCGTAGCGTAGCGCTCACCGCAACACCACCGCTCTTCCCAACGCACTGTGCCTCGCTCTCTCGCTCGGAGCCGCACGCACACACGAGGAGCTCCCAACAACTAATGATGCCATGAGCACAGTTGGCGACCTACGGTGCGAAAGAAGTTCGACATACACATGTGACATCAAGACACAAGAATGACCTGCACTGAAGTGTGCTTTTCATCAGCTCTGACCCTGCCTTTACATTCGTGAACATCTGACAACTCTGCTCCCGTGGTGGTGGGCAGCAGAGTCCAGAGCAAGCTGTACCGTACCTCCATGCTCCCACATCTTTGCATCCCGCCTTCACCGACCGGCGCTGAATAGCGTGGGTGAAGTACGGTCAATGAAACCCCTATCGACCCCGCACCTCGTGGCAGGAGGCACCCCCCCCCCCCCCCCGACCAGCGGTGTATCCCACACAGGGGCTGTGTGTGATAACTCCGCACCAACCGAGTCTGGAACGTCGCGGTGCTCGGGACGGCTGGGAGAAATTGAGCCGTGCGCAGAACGTGAAACGCCGTTCCCGTCTCCTCCCCTCTCCTCCCCTGCTCCCTCCGGTCAAAATCCCGCAACGCGATTGTCTCCCGCGGCGATCACGACCCCGACGCCGAAGCAAATCTCTCCCTCGCCCGTCCACCCGCCTCCGTCACCCCCCTCCCGATCGCTTGCGCGGCGCAGGACGGCGGCGGGCGGCTGCGCGAGGCGTTCGTGGTGTTCTCGGCGTCGGCGCTCGTCACGGTGGGCGTGAGCGACGTGCAGGACACGCCGCCCGCCTTCGTCGGCGTGCCCTACCACGCGGTGGTGTACGAGGACACCCCCTCCGTGAGTAGCCGCGGTGTCGCCGACAACGCCGCCACCACCGCCGCCGCCACAACCACCACCGCCACCACCAAAACCACCACCAATGCCTCCACCGCTACCAACACAACCGTCCCATCACCACCACCACCGCCATGACCACCGCCACCACCACATTTGCCACCACCGCCACCACCATCGCTACTGTCAGAAATGTCGCCGGTCCTCACCAACAGCACCATCACAACCAGCACCACAACCATCACCACCACAACCACGACAACCACTAACAAAAGACAAAGACAAAAACAAAAATCCCACCCCTTATAGCCTTCACAGACTGTTAGCCAGCACCTATTTTCTACTATTTTGTAAGGCCCACTGAGCCATTAGCTTCTTTCTCAGAAGCGTCCTCGTCACAAATGATAGCTCAACAAAGTATCACGAGGAAATGTTCAGCAGCCAAATACTCTAAACGCCTGATGTTGATACCAAATGTGGAGAGAAAAACCGGAGGAGAAACCCGGAGAAAAATTTCCACGCAAACTCCAAGTATACAGGCACCTCTCGATTTAAAGCTTTCGTGACTGCAGGGATTCATCTTCTTGGTTCTTTCGGTAAAGTCACGTAGAATGGAAAAAATAAAATAATAAAAATAAAACATAATACAATATTTTATTTTATTATATTATTTATTATGTTTTATTTTTATTATTTTATTATTTCCATTCTACGTGACTTTACCGAAAGAACCAAGAAGATATACAGGCACCGTCATCGTCGGGATCGAACCCACGACGTTCTGTCGACCAGGCGAGGTAGTCAACATCTCGCCGCCGCGGCAGCGGTCTCCGTGGCCTGGCCGTAGCTCGCGCAACTCCGTCTCGGACCCCTCGTGCCGTCCCGTCCGCCGCGCGCAGGGAGCGGACATCTTCACGGTGGTGGCGTACGACGGGGACCAGGCGATCCCCAACCCCATTCGCTACTCCGTCGTCAACGGTACCCAGGACAGCGTCGCCGCTCTCTCAACAAAAACAAAGCCGGGCTCGGGTCAAAAAAGTAAAATGTAGAGGCGCAGGCCTGCAACTTCTTGCTCGCGCCCAAGCTCGTGGCAACGCCTTGACGAGAGGGAGCTCTCAAGATCCCTCGAGTCTAGAGAGGGTATTTGGCCTACTCTTTCATGCTGGTCAGATGACTTTGAAGAGGTGGGGGGAACCCACTGTTTACCCCACCACACGTGACCTGCATCTACTCAAGCACATCAGAGATCCAGACCGTATTCAGTTGCAATTAAGCCCTGCATACAAACAAAGATCCCCCATATAGCCTTAACAGACTGTAGGGGCAAGTGCTGTTAAGCCCTGCACACACACATACACACACACCTGTGAATAATAATCACAATCTTCCTCGCTGCAGGTAGCAATGGACTGTTCCTGATCAACGAAACTACCGGAGCCATCACCGTGCCTGACGTGACGAGATTAAACGAAGACTCGTATCAGCTCTTCGTCCAGGTATTTTATCCAGTACCTCCCCCTATCCCCCTGGCTCCAGTGCCCCTGCAGCGAGTGGCTGCGCCGTGACGATGCTGCTTTTAACCCAAGTCATTGTGTACACACACACACACGTGACGCTAGAACGCTATTGTGACGCAATCCGCTCGCCGCTCGTGCCGCGCAGGCGGACGAGGTCGGAGCGTCTCCGCTGGGCCGCTCCGGCGCGCTGGCCGCCGTCGCGGTGACCGTGGTGGACGTGAACGACCACAGCCCCGTGTTCAGCGGCCCCGCGGGCCCGCAGCACGTGTTCCGCACGAGCGTCCGGGAGAACCCGCCGCTCGGAGAGGTCATCCGCGGACTCAACATCACCGTGTCCGACGGGGACAAGGTGGGCGCAACGGCCTGGGGCAGGAAGTGAATCGATTTTTTGTTATCGGTCCGTCGATTAAATGAATTCTTTAATTCGAGCCAACGCCCCCCCCAAATGCCCACGTGGCCCCGCCTCCTTATGCTAACCACGGCGCCACCGTTCCTCTACCGTAATTAATTCGTTCTTGCCATCCACTTAACTTTTCCAATTTTGATGACGTACGTGTACGTCATCAGTTTTATATGTAATCACTTTTTCAGTATCGAGGCTCCAGCAAGACCATATATGGGATAGCGTTTAGCACAGTTTGGCACCAGCTATCGTAGAGTGCGGTTGTGTCACTACAGTTCTCTGCGGTGAGTACAATGTCTTTAAAAACAACGGCGCTACGCTTCCCTAAAGAAAATTTCCGCTGAGCCACTTGCGCGTTTCGAGATTCGACGGTGAACGGCACACCCACCCTGCTCCACCTAGCAGTCGCCTAGCAACGAGACGGAATTAACCCGCCTGCGACCCCTCCACGACTGCGATCTTCCGCACTGGCGCACGTGCTCACGCGCGCTTCCGTGTCGGCGTCGTCCGTGCGTGTGCCACCCCGCCGCGCACGCAGGGCGCCAACGCCAAGTTCCGTCTGCGCGTGCTGGGCGCCGGCGCCGCCCTCCGCGTCGTTCCGGGCACCGTCCTCAACGAGGCCCCCGTGGCGCTCGTGGTCACCAACTCGGCGGCATTCGACTACGAGCGGACGCGCAGCATCCGCTGCCAGGTGCGGGTCACGGGGTCAACGACAACAGTGGCAACGAGGGGTTCAATGGGTCAGGGGTTCAATGGGTCGGGGGTCAAATTGGTTAGAGGTTCAATGGGTCAGGGGTTCAATGGGTCGGGGGTCAAATTGGTTAGAGGTTCAATGGGTCAGGGGTTCAATGGGTCGGGCGTCAAATTGGTCAGATGTTCAATGGGTCAGGGGTTCCTTGGGTCAGGTTCAATAGGTCAGGTTCAATGGGTCAGGGGGTCAAATTGGTCAGGGGTTCAATGGATCAGGGGTTCAATGGGTCAGGGGTTCAACGGGTCGGGGGTTCAACTTGTCAGAGGTTGAATCAGACGGGGGTCAGAGACACCGAGACGACGATAATGAAAATTCCTCCAAATGTACGGAGACGAACATCGCCAGATTTTTTAGCGTGTTGCACTAATCGCTGCGCCACCACTCCCTCATCATAGTTGTCATCATCAAATATTAACATCTTATAATTTAACAACCCTTCGTCGATCCACTGCTGGTAATGAAGGGGGGCACCGAGGACCGGTTCAGGTATCACTCGCCGCTAATGCCAGCCATGAACCGGGAGTCCTAAATCATTCAGGCCGCTGGGTTCGTAGCGCGTTGCGCTAGGCATTGCACCCGAGCGCAAGCACTTGTCATTTCAATTTTAAAATCACCAACCGACCGGACAGATCGTGGCGGAGGAGATGGAGACGGTGGAGCGCCGCTCGTCGGCCGTGGAGATCAACATCGACCTCGTGGACATCAACGACAACGTCCCGAGCTTCTCGCGGGATCACTACGTGGCCAAGATCCGGGAGAACTCGCCCGGAGGGTCAATCGTCACCACAGTGCAGGCACGAGAGCTCGCAGCGCACACTTCCCCGACTTGTACACCTGGAGAACCTCCGAATGAAGGCACTGCGCCAACATCAAGTCATCGTTGTTTTCACAAAAATTCGTCAAGCCATCGTGTATCTCCTGCCGAATGAATGTCTCCCCATGCTACCGCAGTAAGTTATCATCATCATCATCTTTATCATTGGTCAGTCTCTATCTCTTGCCGGGTTAAGTCCTCCCATTGTCATCACCAAAGGTCATCATCATCCATTGTCTATCACCGCCATAGGTCATCGCCATTATAATTATTCCCAATAATTGTACCAACTACTGGATGAAGGCATCCTCAGGCCATCAGCATCGTCATCAAAAGCCATGGCCTATCCACTGCTGGATGAAAGCTTCCCCCCATCCTGTCAAGTACATGGCCAATTCAATCAAAATTCTGTTTGCCGTCCATCGACATTGGACAAGTGGGGTTGGTGGATTACACAGAAATGGAGCCATCACGTGAACGAGGTCACACCCTCAGGTCGATAATCTGTCTGCATAAGGCAGTACAGCAAGTCGGATTTCACCAGTCATGTCCCGTGTAGGGTGGGGGGGGGGTTCAGTGTTATCCCTTCGTGTCCATGGGTTTTCTCCACACTGGGTACCTGGGCACGATGACGGTTAACTCACAACGCAATCTCTCTCTCTGTCCTGTTCGCTCTCCCTGTGCTCACCGGCCCGCCTACCCCGCCGTGCAGGCTGTGGACCCAGACTCCGGCAAGTTCGGCAAGATACGATACACGCTGGCGGGCGAGGGGGCTGACATGTGAGTCGCGATGTATTCCGGCAACTCCCCTCCCACGGGAAAAAAACGACAGCTCACAATGCTTATCTTGATTTGTATTCACGGAGCGCCTAAGCTCACGGCGCTTTACGTAGCTTAAAAGCGGTGACACAAAGGGAGTGATTCAGATGGCAAGGGGCATGCAAGGGCCGAGGGATGAGTGACCTTAACAGAGGGCACGTGGGGGTCACGAAAGTTCGGGGGAGGGACGGGACGCAGTGGAGGGGTGAGGGAGGCGGAGGGGAATGGGCGATAAAGGAGACGTGTAGCTTCAGGGGAGAGCTGCGTGTAAACGCGTCGACTCGAGGGGCGTTACATTACTAGTATTATCATCACGATGCAACTCGATACATTTTGGACTTTTAATGCCCTGGGGGGAGATTTACAGGTTTCTTGGGAGCAGATTTGGCGAGCCATTGAACAAAGATGGTCACTGCATTGCTGATATTCAGATGCACTTCTGTGCCCGTCTGGAATGCTCTTCTGGAGCTGTGTACTTTAAAATCATCTAGATTGAAAACTCATTTCCTTAGAACTGATTTTTGTGTGTAGCGAGGCGGCAAGCCGGGCTCTCTCGGTGAACGTTGCCCTGATCCCCCTCAAACCCCCGGGGGGGGGGGTTCGACGGTTCACCGCGGGTTGCCGCACCCATATATTCGGATGAATGTTCATTAATGCGGTCTCAGTGTCTCTGACCCCTCACCCATTGAACCCTTGAACCATTGACCCCTGACCCATTGAACCCCTGAACCATTGAACCCCTGACCCATTGAACCTCTGACCCATTGAACCCCTGCCCCATTGACCCCTGACCCATTGGACCCCTGACCCATTGAACCCCTGAACAATTGAACCCTTATCCCACTGAACCCCTTACCCCACCGCACCCCCCGGCAGGTTCCTGATCCACCCGAGCAAGGGCGTGCTGTACACGCAGCCGTGGGCCGAGCTGGACGCGGAGACGCGGACGCGCCACCACCTGGCGGTGCGCGCCGAGGACGGCGGCGGCCTGTTCGGCATCGCCGAGGTCCTCGTGGCGGTCACCGACGTCAACGAGCACCCGCCGGCGTTCAGCGACAGCGTGCTGGAGGAGGTGATGGTCATCGGCAGGGCGCTGCACATCCTGGTGAGCGACGCGACGGGCGACGCGGGTCGTTGCGACGAGAGAGTTGAGCTGTAACAAAACAAAAAATTTGGCAGACTAACGCCCCACCAGGTCTCGCTGATCCCTTGCGTATCTCACCGACTTCGGCGACAAAAAAAAACCTCGAAACGAAGTCTCTTGGTGGCCGTGCGCAGGCGACGGACGGCGACGCGGAGGCTCCCAACAACGTGGTGCGCTACTCGCTGGAGCGCGCCGAGCCGCTCGACGTCTTCGAGCTGGACACGGCGTCCGGCGAACTGCGCCTGCGGCCGTCCATCCGCTCGCTGGCCGCGCTGCGCAACCTGACGCACCGGCGCGACTGCCGCTGGTCGCTGCTGGTGCAGGCGAAGGACGGCGGCACGCCGGCGTTCAGCAGCACCGCCGTGCTGCGCCTCGACATCACCGAGGAGGTAAGGATGTGTGCGCGTGCGCGCGCGTGCAACGTTGAGCGCGTTGCCCTGGGGACCCGAGTTCGATTCCCGCCCACGGCGATTATCTGAATCGGTCCTGGGTCTCCCCTAGGTCAACCCAGCCTCCAATGAGGAATGTGTAAAGATCGCCAATGGGGAGACAAAGGCGGCCGTGCGTGGTGCTGGTCACACACCCCCTCGTGTGCCGTGCCGGCCTTCATAGGTGCTCCCAAACAGCGCTTGCCCCAACAGCCTGTTAAGGCTACGCGGGGGATCTTCGTCTGTGCGTGTGCGATGGCATGGTACGCTGTCAGCTCGCTGTGCCACGGATGGATGCGGCGACCGTACTTGATCGTGCTGCTCACTGTGGGTTGATGAAGGCAGGGAATATAGCAGTGGTGCATAAGCACAGTTAACAATGCAAGCTCAAAACCATTCGTCAACAACAACAACACTGCCTTAAAACAAAAACAAATCTGCGATTTTTCAGGCAATGGCCATTCATCATAGCACATTGTGTTCTTTGCGCGTGCAACACACACAAACACACGCGTGTGTTGAACTTCTTTCGCACCGTACGTAGCGAACCGTGCTCATCGGAGGTGCACACACACATTCAAGATCCCGATGTTAATTTGCATCAGCGCTCTCTACGTCACGTGGGACGTTCAGCAATCATCGGACGCGTGCAGCGTGCAAGGACCACACGGTGTGCTCTGAAGAAGATCTCATTGCCTGAAACTTCAATGATTGGTTTATCTTGATTTCATCTTTTAAAGCCACAGTGTTGCTGACGAGTGCGTAAAGTCGCTTGAAGTTCGGTCAAATAACCCCGCATCCGTAACCAAACCCAGCACAAGGCGGGGGGAGAAGGGGCGGGGGGGGGGGGATGAGGAGGCCCTCATCCAGCAGTGGAGTGACAGAAACGCGTGCCGCGCACGTACAAAGTCCGGGACTCTGTAACCCGTGGCGCCGGGGACACCGCGAACCCTTCGCAGATCAAGGAGCGGGTCCTCACGTACGTGCTGGGCCTAAAGCACCGGCCCTGGGCTCTCGTCGCCATCTGCATGGGCAGCGCCGCCGCGCTGGTGGCCGTGACGGCGCTGATCTCCGGCGCCACGTACTGGCGCAGCGTCAAGCGCTCGCGCGTTCACCCGGAGGGGCGCAAGCGGGTGGTCGTCATCAGGAGGAGGAGGATGAGCGGGCAGACGACCTCACGAGACGGCGCGCAGACACCGCCGCCAGAGCCACCCGCGCCGCCGTCGTCGCCGCCGTAGGAGTCGCGACAGTTGGACGTGACCCTCCTCCGTACCTCCCTCCAGCCAGCAAACCTTTTTTTCCTCTTCGTCTTCTAACACAGGATGAAATCCGCCCCGATCGTCGCGACGCACTGCGGCTCGTCGAGGTTGTGCCGATTCGCTTCGGTTGAAGTGAAAATGCGGTCCTTGCACGCTGCACGCGCCTGATGATTGCTCGGCGTCCCACGTGACGCGGGAGAGTGCTGATGCGATTCGAGGTCGAGGATCTTGTGTGTGCACGTGTTCCACGCGATGTCGGGAGCTCGTGTTCAAAGTACGAGGCATTGGGTGTATTGATGCGTGTTTCACGTCGCAGAGCACTAACGCAAATTAACATAATAGGTGACCTTTCGGGCAACGGCCCTTCTTCACAGCAAACAGAGAGGCCAAAGAGACGGAGTAACTCTGCCTCTCTTTAAGGCCGTGTTATTGACGAATGTGTTGAGTTTTGTAGTCGTTAATGTTGCAGGTGCATTACCACGTGATTTGTTTCAAATTAAGATAGAGATCGTGGATGAGTGTGTGTGTGGGGAGCGCTCGTGTAGCGGTTAGCGCGCTGCGCTACGAACCCGGCGACCCGGGTTCGATTCCCGCTCACGGCCAACACCAGTGGCGATTATATCTGAACCGGTCCTGGGCCTCCCCTAGGTCGACTCAGCCTCAAACGAGTTTCTGGTGTGGTGTAAAAACATCGCCACTGGGGATACAAAGGCTGCCGGGTGTGGTGCTAGCCACTCCACCCCCTGATGTGCCGTGCCGGCCTCAATAGGTGCTCGCTAAAACACCACTTGCCCTAACAGTCTGTTCAAGGCTACACGTGGGATCTTTGTCAGGCACAAAGATCGTGCGTGCATGTGATCCTCATGGCGGTGTCCCGGGATACCCAAATAATATTAAATGGCCGAGGCAATTAAATGTTATTTCTGGGACACAATTTTTTTCCAGGGGTGTACTTCACTCCGCGACTGGGGTACCAATCAATCCGAAATCAGTGCCACTCCGCGATGTCGAAATGCTAAACATTAGCGTAACAAAATCCGTTATCGAAAATTTCAACTTTGAATAGTGCATCATGTACAGCTCGTCGAGATAAGTCGACTGCCGCATCGCCGACCATCAACAGACTAAAATCGACTGCGTCACGGACATCGTTCGAGAGCCAGGGCACAATGGTTCCCCGAGGTACCGCCATAAGGTTCATATCACGCGGTACGTGATTAGGTATCACCAGGCGCGACTTAACATTGAGATTCGAACCGAGTGAATTGCCTTCAATCACGAGACAATTAAACTCCAGGCAGCTTCTCGAACGTCACACCCCCACGGATGGCGGCACATATAACTGGCAATGAATTACACATCGTCAATTCCATCCGCCTACTCTACATTACTCTGAACAATGACTCTACCCGTTTGTAACAATTTAATCCTCCTATAACTTTCTGGGCAAATATTTGTTCGTAGGTTATTACGTTTCCCCGGTGATATCCATCCTCGTGCATGGGCTCGTGACGATTAATTGATCGAATTATTATATTTAATTGATCGACTTTGATCAATTGATCGACTGATATTGTTCATTTCATCAATTGATCGACTTTGATCAATTGATCTACTTTTTAAGAAAAATGATCAATAGATCAACTGATATTGTTGAATTGATCGATTTGATCAGTTGATCGACTGAAATTGTTTGATTGATCGACGTTGATCAGTTGCTCGTGTTTGATCAATTGATCGACTGATATTGTTTTGTACGCACGGATGGCACGTGCGTAAGAATCTAGATGTTAGAACAGCCGCGGCGTAGGGCACACTAACATAGAGCGCCCTTCACAACAACTTTGTCATGGAGCGTGTAAACACAACACTGCGTCAATACAATTTGAACAATTTGAGATGCACAGCATCGTCGTGAGTATACGCAGCTCAACATACATGAAAGGGATACGCGCATGATGATGAGTCAGAGCGATGAGAATAGGAGAAAAACGATACCATATGGGGGTAGAGACAAGACCAAGCCGTACAGACGAAACACAAATGCCATAGCCGGGCTCAAGTGACAGCTGTGTTATGGAGGGAAATCCCACGCGTTGATGTTGTTGAGTAAATGCAGTTGTTTTTAAATAATGTAATTATTATGTAAATATGCACGTTTCAGGTTCACGTGTTGCTGAAACAAAGTTGTAGGGTGTTTTTTTATATTAGAGTTATTATTGTTGTTGTCATCATTTCTGGCGTTAATGAACGTGTTCAAATAATCTCGTTATAGTTTGTAAGTGCAACTTTAGAACCCATATAATATTTACACGAACTGTACAGTACAAACTGTACACTCTATACAGTAGGCACTGTACGCGATCTACAGTGCACATATACTGTACGCAATCTACAGTATGTGTGCACTGTACATGGTCTACAAGTGAGGGTTGTGCTGGAGAGAAAAACACTTGATCATTCAAGCCGGGTCTATCCGGGTCGGCACACCACATCGAGTATACCAGTGACATCACGTATAACTCGCGACACAGGGACTCCTCTACTTGCAAACATTTGACTTACGAACTTTCGCAGATACGAACAATTAGTCCGTATGGCCAGTTTCCTGTTCGGACCGAGAGTCGTAAGTTCAACCGCCGTGCAATAGATTGCGGTGGTGGCATCTACATCTGTAGAACGTGAAGGACCAGTGACATCTACATCTGCAGAACATGAAGAACCAGTGGCATCTCCATCTGCAGAACGTGAAGAACCAGTGGCATCTCCATCAGCAGAACATGAAGAACCAGTGGCATCTATATTTTCAGAACATGAAGTTCAGTGGCATCTACATTTGCAGAACATGAAGAACCAGTGGCATCTACATCTGCAGAACGTGATAAAGAAGTGGCATCTACATCTTCAGAACGTGAAGGATCCAGTGGCATCTACATCTGTAGAACGTGAAGAACCAGTAGCATCTAGATCTGCAGAACATGAAGAACCAGTGGCATCTACATCTGCAGAACGTGAAGAACCAGTGGCATCTCCATCAGCAGAACATGAAGATCTAGTGGCATCTATATTTGCAGAACATGGAGTTCAGTGACATCTACATCTGCAGAACGTGAAAAAGAAGTGGCATCTACATCTGCAGAACGTGAAGAACCAGTGGCATCTACATCAGCAGAACGTGAAGAACCAGTGTCATCTACATCAGCAGAACGTGAAGAACCAGTGGCATCTCCATCAGCAGAACATGAAGAACCAGTGGCATCTATATTTGCAGAACATGAAGTTCAGTGGCATCTACATCTGCAGGACGTGAAGAACCAGTGGCATCTTCATCTACAGAACGTGAAGAATCAGTGGCATCTACATCTGTGGAACGTGAAGAACCAGTGGCATCTACATCTACAGGAGATTATACAACTTTTAAAGCCATTCCCCGTGTTTAGTGCACACGCCGTACAACATGTTTGGAATCGACGAGAGTAAAGTTGAACTTACGAACAAACCTACTTACGAACAGACCTGTTGAACCTAACTCATTCGTAAGTAGAGGAGTCTCTTATATTAAACTAACCCATGCTAACTAGCTTCATTGGAACACTTAACTCATCGTAGCTTTACTCAAAACACTTCACGCAGGATTTGCGTTCTTGCAGCATCTCCCCACGGAGGACCGAATCTCAGTCAACTTTTTTATCCACTCAATCTGCCAACTCTCAACTGAAAACTATACTTTCTGCAAAACGCGATTTCTTGGCTATCAATTAGTGTTTTTCTTCTCATGGGACACCCCTCAAATATATAAAAGACTAACGTGTCGAGCAATGGCCCTTTTGCAGAGCAGAGCTTTTTCCCTTGTAAGTAGGTGTCAATGGTGGCGAGATGTTAACTTCCTCGCCAGGTGTACAGGGGTCGTGGGTTTGACCCCGATCCTGACAGCTGCTGTGTATTTTTGAGTTTGCATGTCCTCTCTCTCCGTTGTCACGTTGATTTTTCTCCGGGTCCTCCGGTGTTCCCCTCCACATTTAGAATCGGCATCACGCGTTTAGAATATTTGGCTGCTCCAAATGTCCACGTGACGGTGAGCCATCATTTGTGATAGCGAGGTCACTTCTGAGAAAGAGCTACGTGGCTCAGTGGGCCTTGGTAAAATAACAAAATAATAGTTTAGTTTCGTGACGAATGTGGGAGTGTTTTCTTCTCAATTTGTTGTTTTAACAAAGTCAGAAAACACTTTGAGGGGCTGCTCTGCCGGATGCAGCACGCTCTGCTTAACATTTTATGGAGCTGAAAAAAAACCCCACAAATGAATCTTCTGAACGAGGGCCATTACCCATAAAATGTTATCCTATATAAGTCCACGGCAGTGACCGCGTCCACGTTAATCGTTGTAATTGTTCCGCTTGTTTACTGGGGAACCCCCAACGGAGGTCTAAAGACGATTGATTATTTTAGGAGCATCCTGTAACGTTTTTTTTTACGCTATAAGAGGTGTGTGGTGTTGCTGCTCCTGCTTCTGCTGATGTGTAGTCCACGTTGAGTAATTCGCTGGTATAATTTTCAGCAATGGGGATGTTTGTCCAATGGCAGCGTTGCACTGTATGATTTTTCTTGAGATTATTGCGCACGAAATTTTTATCTTTTCAAGATGGTTTAAGTTGTCGAGTCGACACCGACTCCCGGTTCGTCCCAAAACCATCGGCTCGAGTCGCACGGAAACTCACGCCGCGACTCGCCGCCGCTGTCGGGGTCTACGGAAGAAATAAAACAAATCAACATCGTGGCGTTTTGGTACCCGCAACATACAGACCATCCATAAATGACGTCACGCACCTGCGGGGGGGGGGGTCAGACATTTGTGACGATGTGTGACGAGGGGGGGGGGGGGTGAGAAATGTGACGTCACATCAAAATGCGCAACTTTAAATAATTATAGACGACACGTTCTACTTAATTAAATAGACGTTTTAATAAATGTTTTCTCCTACAACATCAGAGTGCAGCGCCACATTAAATACGCACTACAATGACAGTAGTTTAAAGCGATTTGAAGCATCTTTTATTTTCAAAATGGAAATGTTTTTTTTGGGGTGGGCAGAGCTTTGTGACGTCATATTTGAGGCGGGGGGGTCTGACTTTTTGTGACGCCGTCCAAAATCGCGTGACGTCATTTATGGACGGCCCCATAGCAGCATCGCGCACACATACCACGGACATACAAAGAGCTCTCGTGCAGCCGTAAAGATTGCCGCTGGGTGAGTGGTATTAGCGAGCACCTATTAAGTCATTCATGAATTCCGGCACGGCGCACGAAGAAAGTGGTGTGGCGCACACTACTCTCTGCCGCCTTTGTCTCCCCCATCGTGCTCATGTCCACTCAACATTACCAGGAATCAACCCAAACGGAGACCCAGGATCGGCTCGGATATCACTCACCACCGATGTTAGCCGTGGCCGGGAATCGAACTTAGATGTGGCGTGAACCGACCTCTCACACGCGCGCGCCCACACACGCCACTCGCCCACATGAACACACAACGAAGACAAAGATCCCCCATATAGCCTTCACAGACTGTAGAAACAAGCGCTTATGGACACACACGTTGCCCATCTCACAGAAGCTATTCACCAGAGCAGCAGTGATTACTGGTTTAAATATATAATTGGAAAAAAGCATATGTTAATAGCTCAGCTTATTGGAGAGTATATTGAGTACATTGATTATATTGATGTAGTTTATACCTAGTTTTTTCACATCGGTTTATTGTATGGTAGTAGGGTAGAAGCAGTTCTTTAGCGTCAATATGCTAAATTCCTCTGTTGATATGTAAACTTCTTTGTCAAGGCGCTCTGCTCCTCCCACCCAGCTTGTGTTGTGGCCGAAACGTCGTGAGAATTGTATTATTTTATTATTTCCCTTCTACGTGACTTTACCGAAAGATCCAAGAATAAGATTTTAAGCACTTTGAAATGATAATAAAATTGAGCAGAGGCGCAGCTGTTAGCGCACTGCACTGTGGACTCTTCAAACTGACTTTGTTCGATTCTCGATCACAGCTAACATCAGTGGCGAGTGATACCTCAACCAGTCCTGCGACCCTTTACACACTGACCAGCAGGGTGAAGTATGGTCAAACAACCCCCAAGACCGACTCGGCGAGGGGAGGACTTCACTCAGCAGTAGATTGACAAGAAGAGCTGTGAATTAAGTCATAATTTAAGAACAAAACATTGGATAAGTGTCATCACAATCGACACTTGTTCGTCTTTGATGTTTCATGTATCTTGATGTTTAGTTCATCATTTAACGATGTCCATAATATTTGTTGTGCAGTCCTCTTACGCTATGTATCTACATATATTACGACAATGTTACATCCCACTTTGTCAATCCACTGCTGGATGAAGGCTTCTCTTGCTCTGTGCGTCAGTCGTCACGTGGTTGGACCATGCACCACCGCGCTGATCGGTGCGGATTGGTGATGGAGAGGGTCCAGCATCCGAATCGGAAATCACTCACCAATGAGGTCTGCCGTGACCAAGAATGCAACTCGCGTCACCGGCTTTCTCTCTACAGACCCGACAACCATAGCGTCACCCACCCGCCCCCTAGATGAACTCATCAAAACATGTGGATTGGGCCAGGCATTCAAAACGGGAACCTTCTTAAAATAAACTGGAAAAAAGTATTGTGACTCAGTTGAGGCTTCCCTCCTGGGTAAACAAAACATAATCACAAAGAGGATTGCTGTTGCGTATAAGCCTCATCATTCAGTAGCCAGAAACTCCAATCACTAATGCAGCTGTTTGTTTTAAGCGCATTGCTCGGTGTTCTGAAAGAGAGAACAGACTGCGCTGGGATTAGGGCTTGATCTGTGAGAACGTCTTCTGTAGAGAGCTGCCCCATGCAATGACGTGTCGTCCTACTATGCGCAGGATCAAAGTTGTGGGGGGGTTTATTTACGTAAAACTACTTTTGTCTAAATGCATTTCACTCGAGCTCAACGGCGTCTAGTGCTGAGATGAATACATTCCCTTTGTGGACCTCTCGCAGTCTCACATCACCCCGTGTTAAAATAACGACCCGCGGAAGGTGACATCACAGAACTACCGCTGAATGTCGGTAGCGTCGCTGCTGCAGCGGACTCGACGTGTTACACAGAAGCTGTCTGTGTAAGCCTCACGGGCTTTGCATAGAATCTTCACATGGAGCGGTGGCGCATTGGTTAGCGCACTGGACCCTGTGAGCTGAGTTCACTTCCCGGCCACGGCTAACATCCGCAGCGAGTGATATCTGAACCGATTCTGGGCCCCACACACCTCCCATCCCACTTCACGAACCCGCACTGACCAGAGTGGTGAAGTATGGCCAAACAACCCCCACGGCCTACGCGGTGTTCTAGAGCCCTTCATCCAGCAGTGAATTGACAAAGGGTCGTCAACTAAACCCAAGTCGAGTACTGCCGGTGTGTTTACAAGCCAATGCTGAAGCACTTATATGGGACGATCCCCTCGCTGTCTGCTGCCGTGCGAGTGCCGTGGCTCACCTTGCGACAGACTCACACGTGGCAGCCGAACGGATTTTATTGGCCAACAACCACGACAAATTTACACCATTGGAACCTCATTTGCCAGTAAAAAATATGATAATTGTTTTTTTACCCTTCTATCTGGCAACAAAACTGACACCTTTTTTAAAAGGAGTCATGTTTACATAGACCACAATACCTGCAGTCATAAGAGTAAAGGGTAAAAAAAACAATTATCATATTTTTTACTGGCAAATGAGGTTCCAATGGTGTAAATGCTTACCCCGAGCTCTCATACTCTGATGGTGCATTGTCTTTGAGTTGTGCGCCTTTTGGCGTCATCTGGTCCAACCCATGTGAGACTAGGCTCTAAGGAAAGCTGTCTCGGGTGTGGACCAATCAACTTCAAGGACAGTGCACATTATCAGAGTTATGTTTTTTGTTTGCATTATGACTGCAGGTATTGTGGTCTATGTAAACACGACTCCTTGTAAAAAAGGTGTCAGTTTTGTTGCCAGATAGAAGGGTAAAAAAACAATTATCAACCACGACAAAGTTTGGCAATCGTGGCATTGTTCGCACCATTAACGACCGCAGCTCATCAGATTCTGTTTTTTTGCGACTGTTCAAACAGAGTCCAACCCAAACAAAAAACAAAACCACCGCCACTCGTTGCTCCGTCATTTCCCACTGTCACCCGAACTCGGGGCTTAAGTTCAGCTGGAAGAGTCCAAAACGCTGCTCCGGGATTATCTGTTGCGTCCTCAGCCACATCAATCTCCTCGTCTGATCTCGTCCTAAACCAACTCGCGGCATTTACATTCCCATAAACATTTTTATTCCTTTAAATATATTTTCCTGTAACAGTACAGGTTGCTTAAAAAAATGTGAACACTTACATGGGACTATCGTTTTTAATGGAAAAAGAACGGATAATACGCTGTAATATGATAACAAATGCATGTTAATGGCTTCACAAAGTCAAAGAGTCTGCACTTGTTCGCCATCATTGTCAACAAACGCCCGGATTTATCTCCAGGTGGCCTCCAGAGCCGGGAGGCACATTTCTCGTGGTATCGTTGCAAATTCTCAGAAGTGTTCACATTTTTTTGAAGAACCCCGTACACTCTTAGAAATACCGTGAGTCGGTTGAGTACAAAAGCAGGCTTGCCTTGCACTCCAGTGGTAGTGCCTTATGCCGGTGATATCTCCTCCGAGCCAACTCGGCAGCACAGCCTTCCAGGAAGTACCGAGCGAGACACATTAAGCCTGTTGACCGCACTCGTTCCTCAGAGCTGGAGCGAATTCAGCGCCCTGCGCTCCATCGTTCACCGCGACAACCCCATGCGGGCACTGGGCGTGCTGGCGGGCCTCGCCGCCTTCCTCGTGGCTCTCACCGCCCTCATCTCCACCGCCGCCTACTGCCGCAACAAGAAGTCCAACCGCATCGCGCCGCAGAGACGACGCCTCGTCGTCGCCTCGACAGCCGCGGCCGCGGCGGCTGGCGGCCGCGTCCCCGCGGCGGGCGGCCGGGGCCGGCGCGGCGCACGCGTGCGGGCGGCCGTCCTGCAGCGCCACCGCCGCCGCCAAGACGCCGGCGCGCTCGCCCGCCGGGCCGACTCGGGGCAACCGTCCTCCACCACTCCCCCCGTGGGTGACCCCCCGTGCCCGGACTCCGACGCGAATGCGGGAGCCGCGGGGACTCCCGGCGGTGGCGGCGTGGGGGCTGTGTCCGCGCCGCCGAAGCCGCCGCTGCTGCCGGGAGCCTCCGCTCGCCCCTTGACGGTCACGGGGAGGTCGCTCCTGCCGGGGCATCCGTGCGGGGGGCAGCCCCCTCCGTTTAGGTCGACGGGAGGGTCACGTGGGGTCGGCGCCGAGGGGGCCAGTGTGAGCCCCCCACTCGTGGCGGAGCTCAAACAACGTCTCGCGTTCAGGGCCCGGTACCATAAATGATTTGGCGAAGATTTGTTTGACGTGAACGTATAGAATAAATGCCATCCATTTTCAAGCTACCGATGGGTGACGTCCTCCCCCCCCCTACCCACGCCATCTCAGCCATAGGGTGTGTTTTTTTGCGTGACCACGCTTCGTCGGCACTAAATGTCATACCAATGTAAGGTAACATCGTACACCGGCGGTAAATACACGAGTGGCGCATTCTACAGAGGAGTTCGTGCAGGGATGTGTAGACGGCAAAGGCATAATGAAAAACAAAACATTCGCAGTGTCTGAAACAATGCGTTGAGGTCCTCTTGGGGGCCGTCCATAAATGACGTCACGCACCTGGGGGGGGGGGGGGTCAGACATT